AGATGTTTCAGATTATCATCAATTTTAGATATTTCTCTACATCCATCCCTGTAATACATGAGCTCTGAATTTTGAGAGACCTAGCAAAATTTTAACTTTCTTAGTGCTTTGGTATGCTCTCCCTTTTTTGTGTGCATAAACCCATTAGCTGCAATGGGATTTAGATACCAAGTTGGAAAACGTGCTGTGTAAATTTGTGTTCTCCAAAAAGCACGCCATAGCATTATAGATGCTTTGTGTACAACGTGTCGCATGCTAACGCAGTGAGACCCATCTTTAAAAGGTGTGCTCCGAGGCACCTTCTGGGGAGACAGGGAGGAAAGAAAGATGTTTTGGCTTGGAGATTTAAACAAACACTGGAAATCTTTTATTGGATATTTACCGCGCTCTCTTGTTGTGAATGTTAGTAGTTTAAACTGACTGAATGTTCTGCCAAGCTTGACAGTCTTTTTTTTTCCCCCTTTAACTTTGAGATGGAGGTTAAGCACATGAGTTCATAGGACATAAGGAGAAAATCTTTATTATCTCTATAAATACCATAGAGTAATTGGAATACAACTGGTTAATAGATAACTACAGGCAGAAAAAAATCCGCAACTTTACTTTTCCTGCTTAATTCAGACTTCACCATCTTAATCCTATAACTGTCTTGAAAACACTTAGCTTGCTTTGAGCACTTAATGATCTCAGTGCTAGCAGCACATCTATGGCCTTGAGGACATGACTGCTCAGCTGGCTACGGTTCAGTGATTCAATGGGTTGAATAGGTGGAAGTGGTCTGGTGTACCTTAAAATGGAACCTGTACTTTTCATTCTTGCTTACATGATTTTTCTCTCATGCTCCAGACTTATCACATGAGTTAACTTCCTTGTATGCAAAATAAGGAAGGCCCAAATGACGGTGTTTACTGCTGCTGGAAACTGTTTAGTAAATTGTTATAGTTGTACAGGGAATAAGTTAAACTTAGCTTAAGCAGGCAGAAAACTTGCCTGTTCAACACTCATCCATATGTTTTGTTTGTTTTGTTTTGTTTTTTCCAGGAGGAAAACTGCAGGTACCAAAAAGGTTTGCTAGTTTTCAACCAAAATTACTACAAATATTGGTATATAAGACAGCCGTGGCACAACCGAATGCCTATGAACATGTACCTTGAGGAAATGTAATGCTATATCTGATGGGCCAGATTCCTTAGTCCAGTACTGAGGAATACCCCATCTAGAGCCATAAGGACAACCTTCAGCACTAACCTTGGTCACAGAAGAGGCCACCCCATCCTTCATCACATATGCACTGCCATTGTGTTTTACAAGTCCCGTGGCGGCAGCCCATGTGGGGAATGCATTCATCGCAGTAGCGGCCTTGCCAGCCAGGACGACAGCTAAAAGGAAAGTCAAAGTAAAACATTAATGACATGAAAAAGAGTTTTAGTTTCTATTACAAGGTGACGTTTTAACTGAAGTTCAGATTGCAATTGCCATCTACTCACATGCACTCTCCAGGCTTGTTGCAATATCCATTCTGTTCAGTACATCCAGACAGACAGATGGCTGTAAAGAGAACATAAAAAAGCAGAAATGTTTAGGTAAATACACATGGCACTACAGAATACACTTTTAAAAGGGGAAATGCCAGCTTAAAAAAAAAACCCAAAACAACCCCGCAACTTTGAAAACCAGTTTTGCACTTTCAAAGCTTTGTTCTAAAAGTTCTCGTACGGGGAGTTCTGGGGCAGGAATGAGTCAAGAAGGAGAGCCAAGATTTGACAAGTTGTCCTTTAGTTTTTCTGTTTATACAACAAACATGAACTCTTGCAACTCTTGCTAGAAAAGGAGCAAGAGGAGGTGGCGTTGGCTTGTGCTAATGAAAGACTGAAAAAAACCCAACAGGACCCCAAGCCCACAGTAAATGTTCCCCCTATTACTCCACAACACCTGTCTCATCTCCTCTGGCAGCAGGAACGGTGGAAGCATTTGTGTGGGCAAACTGCTAGCACTTTAACTTGGAATAGATATCGCTGATTCGGGGATATCAGCCAAGATTGTTTCTCTGCTCACTCGCTCTTTGCTGCTAACGCTCGCAGAGGTGACGCACAGCACTGGTAGTTGCAGCTAAAGGGGGCAAAGTCCTCAGCGTGGAGCTTTCTCGGGCAGAGTGGAAAGGTCAGCATGAAGACATGGCCCCAAGTGCCTATGGGGTAGCCGTGCACAATGCTTTCTAACAGCCTTGTGGAAGCCACCATTATTTTAAGGATTGAGCGCAAGGTCAGCTACACAGCCAGGATCAGGCCAGCTGGTGGAGCTGGACAAGGGGACAACCCTTTTGGGTCCAGGGTCCCTTTGTCAGACAAGCTCCCTGATGCCGTAGGGGTTTGCGTTTCCTCAAAGGCCTCTCAGGCTGCACCCCAACCCCTCGCTCACACCCCAGCCCAGGAAAGTCAAAGCCAGTGATGTTCCATAACACACTTGGGCCTCCATGAGCTTCACAGGCCGCCGGGCACTTACGGTCGGTGCAGTACTCGCCGGTCCAGCCGGGCAGACAGGCCACGCTGCCATCCGCCTCACAGACATAGTGTCCGAAACGGTCATCGCGACGCTTGCAGAGGCGGGAGCAGCTCTCGCCGTAGTAATTCTCGCTGCAGACCACCCGGTAGGAATAGCGCAGCTGGGTCAGTGGCCCGCTCTGCACGTCCTGCGACCAGTCCTCGCCCACCGACAGCGACCGCTGGATCGACATCTGGCTGATGAG